GTCGGTATCCGGATTTATTCGGATGCGGGCTCGGACGGTTTCGTTTGAAACACACCCGACGGCTTGCACTCCTCTGTCGGGTGGTCCCAGTACAGGAGCCTGCGTACGACCTCGAGCGAGCTAACCCTCGGCGAGTGGGATCCACCACGGGATGGATCTCTCCGTGCGCAGCTCACTCCCAACGACCAAGTGCTGGTACCAACTCCCACGCATTCAGGCGTAGCACTACGTATGCGAAGTCTTTGAGTTAGTTTTTGCTAATTTGATTTCAACGCGAACACTTTTGATTGATTGATTGATTTCAGTAGGACACAAGAGGAATCATCCAGGTGGACCTACGACGTGGTGCAAATGGTATCCGGGCCCACGTCGTCGATCGACGCAGAGGTGAGCTTGAGCATTGGCAGCGCTGGCGTGCTCCCCGCGGTCTCATGGCGCGGCGAAAGCGTCGCACCAAGGTTGGACGGGTACAGCTCGTCATAGTCGTCTTGCAGCGCCTGCAGCATGGAATTGGTGACCTACGCGTCATCATCGTCGACCTTGGTCGCATAAGTGCCATAGAGTACCTTGATTTTATTCGCTGCGTGCACGAGGTACTCGGGGTGCAGGATGAGCTACGCGTGGTCGTCAGCCATCTCCTTGTACAAAGGCATGTGTCGTGCATACCGCGCCGTCATCCAAGTTGTAGAAGAGATCCACGATCGCCTCCAAGTCCGCGGCGAGGATCGCCGACTACATGTACGTCATGTATACAAGACGCAATGGCAACGTCTACCTCGAGGTACGTGAGGAGCGCGAGCGCGACGCGGAAGATCATTTTCCAGCCGTACACGACAAAGCCGTCCATGACGCGGACGACGGCGTCCGGCGGCAGCGTGTCAAAGTTGGTAAAGAGTGTCATAAACCATCTACATCATGATAGATCGTTCTCACTCGAAGAGTCGTCGATAGAGGATGCAACCCTACCCCGAGGCACACATGCTCACATGAAAATCCTGTGCTTCAAAGTGCGCGTGGACGGCCGGCAACCACTGTTTGACGAGCATATGGAGCTGCACACACCGCTTACTTAGCGCATTATTTCGACGCCATACGGACCTGGAAGAAGCGCAAATTGAGCAGCGGGACGCCCGGCTTGTACATGTCCATGATCTCGTACGTGGGCGAGACCGCCATGGCCGCAAGGAGCCAAAAGGCCTGCGCTTCGTTCCACTCGACGTTGGCGAGCATAAAGGCCGCCAAAAAGTTCTATAAGATCTTCGCGCGCCAAGCAGCCACTACATGACGGCGTACCATGCCCTGGCAGTAGCCCACCGTCGCATTGGTGCTTGTAAACGCGCGAAGCACGTTGATGAGCGAGTCTTTCTTTGGCTCGCGGTCCAACCCTTCGTACGGGTCGGCTTCCTACGCCGATGGCACCTTGGACATTAAGACCGACGATCTCAAGGGATGTCGTTACCCGCTCGCGGCGCTTGGTCTTGCGCACGGCCGAGCGGCCAAACGTGCGCCCGACGTCCGCCACAATCTGCTTGTCGTGTTCGAGATTCCCGATCGCGCCGCAGCGTTCGAGAATGAGCTACACCCAGTGCATTCGTATCCATTTGGAAAACTATGTACAAGAAATGACACGTACACCGTACGCTTCCGACCATATCGGCGACGACTTGGGCATGATCGAGTACCACTGCACGGCTTGGTCCGAGTCGTACTCGAGGCTGAGCGCGGACGTGAGTGCTTCGGCCAGGTCGCAAATGAACTTGTTGGTGTCGCTGTCGCTGCAGAGGCGCGAAAGCCACATTTGCGGGCTATCCACAAGGCGAATTCAAGGAATGTGCAAGCTCCAGTCTACCGAAAACATGCGGGAAAGGCCTGCTGCGCAATGGCTTTTCGCTGCAAATCGTGCTTGGCAATGTACGCGTGCAGCGTCTTGCACGTCTACAAGAACGCTAAGTCGAAAGCGACGGGGCGGTGATGCGCACTTGGCTCAGCATGGCAAGGTCAAAGACGCTCAAGTACGGGAGCGCGCCCGCCGCGACCGGGTGCCACCGAATCTTCTTGTGGCGGATCGCCTACGACACGGTCTTGGACACGCAAGAAGCGTGAAGTATACCTCTTCGTAGACGACCATGGCAATGTGCAGCGACTCGAGTGCTTTCTTGGATCGGACCTCGGCCACTTTCAAGCACATTCCAAGCTGGCGGTGGGCGAGGCGCAGCTGGGCACATGCCTCGACCGACTCGCTTGGCTACACCACACGTCAACATGTAGCACCAAACGGAGTTCGGACCTTGAACTTGTGCGCCGGCGGCGTCTTGACCTCTTCCATCGTGCGCGACGGTGATGCGCCGAGCTTGGCGGCCGTGATTGCCTCGAGCTTTGCCACGTCACAGCCTGTCACAATGAGTTGTCGCCGCGTCGAATGCACAAAGTAAGCACCGAGGTGGGTGGCTTCCGCGCGCAGCTTGGCGACGACAGCCGCTTGTGCCGCGACCTGCGTTTCTGTGGTCTTGGCGAGCGCCTGGATCGCATCTTTGATGCGCCGGTTCTCCGTCACCAGCCGGCGTACTTCGGCGAGCCCTACACAGCAGCATCAACATCCGATGCCCGTCCACATCCAGATGATGTGGCTTGCCCTTGTCATTGTCGATGCTGGCCTTGCACGCGCCACAGACACGGTACTTGCGCGGCGGCGCACCTCGCGAGAGCAGCAGCTCGACCTGGGACGCCGTGCAGAGATGGCAAAAAATGTCAAAGCACATGCGACACTACGGCAACGATGATACAAATCGACCAAGTTGGTGCATACGTGGTGGCGTCGGTTGTGCACCGTGAAGGGCGCCTCGCACACGGAGCACGCCGAGCGCACGGCGTCGTCTTGCCAGAACCGGTCCTACGGCATGATCAGGCACCGCTCGTTTCTTTCCAAGCACCCACCTGGCGTGCGACCGGGAACTCGGACTGATCGTCCCAGCCTGGCAAGAGCCGATCCACGAGAACAACATACTCGTTCATCGCTGCTTCCGGCGCCATCTCGCCGAGCTTGTCCCACTCCCGCCTAAAACAAAACAGCAAACTCAGTCATCACAAGGTTCACCCAGTCATTGAGATCCGATTCATACATGACAGAGCCGGGGCCGTTGAGGTACCCGCCACAGAGTGCAAACCACGGCGTCGAATGGTGGGCTACAGAAACAAGCACACATGAATCTCCGCCGCCCGCACGACGACGCGAGTACCTTGGGCTGTGATGTCGCGCACCTCGGACGTCTTCTTTTCGCGATGAATCGCAGCCGGGCCCTAGTAGTACGCCAGGCGTTAGAGTACTGCCATTAATATCCATGCAGTCGACTTGTTCGATGTGGCACTGGATACTGAAGAGCACATCTTCGTGGGCCACGAGGCGCCGGGCCACATCAACGTCCACGGCGCGGTGCGACCCGTTGTAATACTTGTTGAAGATGGCCGAGACGACCGAGAGCGCGCGGTGGTACTTGGCCGGCACATCGTTCTCGGCCACAAGGCTGCTCGCGTCCACCGGCACCACCACTGACGGCTCGAACGAGAAGGACGGCCGAAGGTGCATCTGCGTCTTTGTAGCCAACCGCATCTTCTTCGTACAGTCGCTGTCGTTCGTATCTTTTGGATCGACTATACTCGACATTGTATACCATACAATGTCCAAGTCATTGGAACGGCCAGGTGGCGCCACCACCTGTGGCCGCGGACGGAGGTGCTGCCACGTATGGCACCTGTCGTTGGCGAGGAACGCTATCCAATAGGCAGTCGCTCGTACACTGTATGCATGCAAGACGTCCAGCGACAGGCGACCAACGTCTTTGCAAGGGCGACACCTTGGCCGAGGACTCGGTTGAGCGACGGACGAGATTCTTATCTAGTACGGCCCACCGCCACAGCTTTTACTTGTGGACGCGAGACGCCTGTGATTGGCGCCTCGCCCACATGGAGATGCCACGTGTTGCGGAGCTTCCTACAGGCATCCTGCTCGACACCTGGCCTCTGTATGCGTGGTAAAAGGCTCCAGAACTGCATCCGTGACACACGACAGGCGATTTTGTATAGACACGGCAAAGCCAGAAATTTCACTGGCGCGCGGCGCCGAGGCTTATTTTCGGCACGTTCGAAGTTCCAGAACTCGAAGTTGCCACGGGATTCGGTCGTTTGCATACAACCGTGCTGCTACATACAAAACCCAAGTCAAGACACCGGCCCGCACGCCAGCACGGTCATTTTGGATTTTGAGCGCGTCGAGACATGCTGAGCGCCGCGAGGAGCGACAGCCACTTTGCGGTCAAGAAGGAGTGGTTCTTTCGGCGCCTCCTTAGCGCCGACCCGCGCCAGCGCGCGAGCACTATGGACCAGCTCCGCGAAGAAGCCATGGCCATGGAGCCGTCGGTCTTGGAGGCGCACTTGCCCAGCATGTGGCGGTTGGCCCGCGAAGCGCCTCTCGCCGACATTCGCACCGGCTGCCGGGCGCTGCTCGCCGATATAGCGACTGAGCGCGGCCTCACGTTTACGCCCAAGTGCGCGCCAGCGAACGGCGCCGAGCCCACGGACGAAGACTCGGATGTGTCGTCGTTTTTCCAAAAGTCCGAGGTCATTGGCATCGTCAAGAACGACGACGAGGACCTCCAAGCCATCTTTACGCGCTGCTTCCTCCAAGGCGGCCGCGTCTCGCACTTGACGCGCATGCTGGCGTGGCACAAGCCGTACCTGCAGCTCTTTCGGTCGTCGATCACGTCCATCATGCTCAACGGTGCGATACGACGAAGATGCAAATGTGCTCATCTGCGTCTGTAGATGGCCCGCTCCCGCTCGAGTGGCGCAACTACATTGCGCTCATGGCCGCGGCCGAGTACCGGTGTCACTACGTCTCGATGATCCACCAACACTATTTTCTCGTGAATGGCGGCGACCCGTCCTGGCTCGACGGCCTCGACTTTGTGCCGGCCAAGCTCGCGCGCCTCCACAGCCTCAACGCGCTGCTGGCGCACCAGCCGTGGCTCATTACGAGCGATGACATCGCCGACCTAGTACGTGACGCCGCGACTCCTGCGTACCTAACGATCCACATCTTGTAGCTGGCATCCGACAGCGACGGGTCGTCGTGGTCCATCTCGGAGCTCGTGCACGCGATCATCGTCATGTGCATGTACCACTCGATGTGCAGCATCACGCTCGGCCTTGGCGTCGTCGACGAAGAAGACCTCGCGGTCCTCTCGAGCACGTCCAACCCCGACACGTACATTGGTGCGATCAACCGCCGAAGCAGCATTGGCAAGATGAGCGAGTGCGGCAGCGAGCTCGGGGCCAGCCCCGGCTACGACGTGGCGCGCATGGAGCTGGAGGAAGAGCTCTTGCGGCAGCGACTGGCCAAGGACGCCGAATTTACGCAAAGCGACGACGAAGACGCGCCCGAAGGCGACGCGACGTCCACCGAGAAGGACGACGACGACGAGGACATTGACGAAGAGGAGGAGGAGGAAGTGCCTTTTGAAGTGGCGGCCCTGCCGCGTACGTACCTCTGTGTCTTGTGCATGCCACTCTGACGGAGAGTATGGTGTAGCAAGCGGTCGTCTGCGCGGCTTGTCGTCGACGGCGCATCTGAAAGGCGAGCTGTGGCGCTACTGCAGCGAGACGTTTGTCGAGTACGTCGACTTTGACGTGCGGTCGCGCGAGTACAACGTGTTGCACACGGAAGACTTTTCGTGGGACGAGCACTGCTTCTCGCTCGTGAGTCGGTACTTTCCCGGCCAAGGCGTACGTCCTCCTCAACACATGCGCATTCTCTGAATTGAGTGTAGGGCCACATTCTGGAAGACCTCTTCAAGCTCACGCTCAAGATGACGTACCACTCGTACGGGGCCCATGCCACGGCCACCAAGAGCAACCAAGACGTGGAGGGCATGGACACGACGCCGTTCCGCCATGCGATCTGGTACTACGTGCACCGCATTTACGGCATTTGCCACGACGACTACGACTACAAGAACGTCAACATCTTCCTCAACCGCCCGACCAAGCAGTTTGTCAAGAAGGTCGCGTGCACGCCGTGGCGCGTGACGGCCAAGGACATTGAACACTTCAACCACACGCTGACGGCGTCGGAAAAGTGTCACGTGACGCTGCTCACGGCCGAGGCCCGCAAACAAGCCGGCCTCATGTATGGCCTGCGCGCGGTCATGCAGCACTTTTTATAAGGTCGGTCGCGTTTTCTTATTTAACAAACTGACACACAACACCATTGCGAATATATCCTGCTATTTCTGTCACCCCGTCGTGCCAGTACGCATGTACCCGTGGTCAGCTCCCCATCCCTTGGTCAGCCCCTTCCCGCGCTCTTCCTTCCCAAAGGGCAAAAGGCGACCGTGCGCCGTGCCGAAAATCCACGGAATTCCAGCTGGTTCCGTGGCAGTTTCGAAGTTCGAAGTGCACACGCCGCCCAAGTTCAAGTCGCAAGGACCCGTTGAAGTTGGGGTGGTTGTCACACCAAGTGTAGCTGGTGCGCCTCGTCTGGCCGATCCATTCGAACTGTAGCCTCCTTGTCTAGCTCCTTGCCTCCTTGCCTAGCTGCTACTTCTCTACCGAATTAGACTCTCTTTTGTATGGACGGTTGTTTGGCCTTTCCTTGGATATCTATTACCCGTACCTTGAGCGTGCGAGAGAAGCGGACGATGGTCTTTCTGTCCCGTGAGAGTAGGAAGGACCCAACTGCCAACTTCAAGCGTCATTCGAGGTGCTTCCCGGCGAGATTACGATAGCACCACCACCTTCAGTTCCTTGACCAGCGAGGAACCGAGAACGCTTGCTTTGACGCGAGCAGGATATGGTCGCACGCGTCATATAGTATGTCACGGGCCTTTCCAAGATGCACCGCATTAGCCGCGCGGCTTCCACAGGTCACAGGTGCACGAGAGGAATCTGTCGTTAAGCAATTCTCTTGGGTGCAGCCGGTATGGCTACTCCTTTTCCTCCGATGACTCTGGACTTGGTCGAAATGACGTGACAAGCTCTGCGTGGCTCGGATCGCGCAGCTGCGTCATGAGCAGGCGTACGAGCGAGTCGAGGCTCTCGGGCGTCTCGCGATCGTCATCGCCGTCGTCAGTTAGCATCTCGATGCAAGCAGTGCTGCCCAAGTCCGTCGCGAGCGCCTCCAGCGTATCCAAGCGCATCTACAAGATACATCGTGGTCGATCAATGAGGTCGACATGCGTCGCACGGTCGAGAGGATGGACGCGAAGAGCGGAGTCTTTGCGGATGCCGCCAGAGAAGGGTCCTCCGACCCATCCACTTGGGCAAGGAAGGCGCCCATGACATCATCACCCATGGAGGCGTCTGGGGCATGGTGGTCGCCAACGGGTTTCTAAGGCCACTTGTAATAGCGCGGCTTCCGGAGCGAGAGTGTAGTACCCGGTACACGACGAGGCGCGCGCCTGTTACTGCATCAAATTCGCCGCTGTATTCGGCAAAGCCCAAGCGCTGCGCGAACCGCTCAGCGGCGTCGGACGGGACGCACGAGAGTGCGAGGTACCGACTGGTTTCCTTTGCCTCCGATACGAGGAAGCGCTCAGCAGCGCGCACAAGGTCCGACCCTGTACCTACGAGATCCACATCGACATATAGACGTGCAAATAAAGATGAAGCACCTTGGCTGCGGTGGATGGGATCGACAGCGAGTGCATCAATCACCGCCACGTCTTGGTCTCGTAGAAGCACGAGAACGCCGATGGGACCCGAGGTTTCCGCGACAAAGACATGCTTCTGGCCAATATGGGTGGGCTCCGTAGAGAGCTTACATTGAGCAGAGCCGAGCGCATGCAGCAGCAGCTCGATATCGGCGTGCTCCTGCGGCGAGGCCAAGCGGATCGCAGCGCGGCCCATTGTGTTGTTGTTGCCGTGTCCGTCGGGCCAAGATTGTATTTTCTGGAAATCTTTTAATGCATTTACTCTTTTATCAATACAAAGAGTAGTATTCCTGTATGAAATAAATTGACGAGATTCTAGAAGCCCGCGTCCGATTGGTGCCTTTTTAGCATTCATGCTTACAATTTCAAAGTAATAGAATGCCATTGGATGCGGCGATGCCATTGGCTGAAATCGAGATTAATCACGTTTCGACTAACAAATGTAAATGACGTTGTGACTGCTTGCGCTCAAAGCGCAAGCATACTGCCAGCTCCTCTACTATGCTCATCCACAGTACCGATTGATTAATAGTAGGTACCTTTGTGCATGGACTACTACACGGTAATAGTAGTCCGTGTCGTGCAGCGTAGTATTTGTTGTTTACAGTGTTAGTCGCTTAGTCGGTCTCGCCACCGCAGGTTATCCGGATAGTCGACAGGCGTGGATTTTAGTTTCGAGCTTGCGACGGAGAAGCATGAACGTCTTTGGCTTTGGCAACCTGCGCAACCGCGCCGCCAACGATGACAGCGACAGCGACGAAGAGAAGCAGTCGTACTACACTGGTGGCACCAACTCGACGGGCGGTGGCAGCGGGCTGAGCGTCTATGGCAACCCCACGGGCGGCCCTCCGAGCATTGACAACATCATCTCCCGCGCCCAGCAGCAAGGCGCCCAAGGCGACGCGTCGGCGACGCCGTCGCACGTTATCACGTTTTACGCCGACGGCTTTACGGTCGATGATGGCGAGTACCGGCGCCGCGATGACGAGAACAACCGCGAGTTTCTAACCGCGATCGAGCGGGGCGTCGTGCCCCGGGAGCTGGAAGCACTGCACTCGCGCGGCCAGCACGTCGACATTTCGCTCGTCGACAAGCGCACAGAGCAGTACAAAGAGTCGGCTAAGCCCAAGTACGCTGCGTTCGCGGGCGAAGGCCAATCCATGGGCGCCACCAAGGTATAGCGAGTGATTGCCTCTTCTGCATGCGCACATGATCCTTTGCACAGGTCGAAGCGGCTGCGATTGTAAGCGATGCACCCACCGCGCTTGCGCCCGTCGACACGACAAAGCCGACGACAGTGATCCAGATCCGTCTCGCCAACGGCGGCCGTGTGCGCGAGACCTTCAACACGACACATACCGTGCGCGACATCCACGCTGTGCTCCACCGCGAAGGCGCGACAGGTCAGGCGTATGTGCTCATGGCCGGGTTCCCGCCCAAGCCGCTCGTGGGCATGGACGAGACGCTCCAGGAAGCGGGACTGCTCGGTGCTGCGATCACGCAAAAATGGGCCTAATGCTTACGTCGCCAGCGACTTCTTACGCAGATATAACGCTAAAAAGTGCGCGGGTTGGCCTAGCATCCCATCGTCGACGAAGCGCGGCTCGTCGGAGTTACGTACCAATACTGATCTGGTTGATTTGCCATGACGCCGCATTACAGTCGATATATGGCGCCCGGGATGCATACGAGCCATCTAGATCGCCATGGCAAGCGGAACAAAGGACCATGAGGAGGAGCGTACTCGAAAAGACAAAGCACGCGCCGTCGGCGGTGAGCACACGGTGGATTTCGTCCATCATCTGGCCAGCACCAGCGCTGTTGGCAACGCCGCAGACGACCGCATCCAAGACGCCTAATGGCCATCGCACGAGGGAAGGGATTGCTCGAATGGTACAAATTGAACATGGTCTGCATACCCTTGTCGATCACGGCGTCAAACGACGCGCTCGGGAAGGCCGCCATGTCGCGCGCGTCCATGAGCACGTCTACGACAGGCGAAAGCAGTGCTTACTTGGATACGATTGGCCACGTACACTTGGGCGCAGGCCGGCCGTCCATGGGCGGCGCCTGGCGCTGCGTCACGATGCGAATGGCCGCGGGCGAAAAGTCCATGCACGTGATGTCATGGAAGCCCGCGGCGAGCATGTCGTGGCCCATCGAGCTCGTGCCGCAGCCCAGGATCAAGATGCGCTCGGCCTTGGACGGTTTGAAGAACGGCTCGAGGCCTTTCTGGATGACGCCGTACGGGAAGTAGACATCCCGCGACGTCCGATTGCCTGCTGATGTACCGCGCGTCCCAGTACTCGACGCTGCCATAGTCGACCTGCCGGTGCATCCCAACGCCCGTTGTTCTTTTTGGTGGTGCTCTCACGCCTAAATATGCATGGAACTGGGCATTGAATTGAGATAATGGGGTGCTACGACGACCTGCTTTGCGCCAGCGTAGAGCACGAAACGACCCCTATATCGGAAAGACGACGAACCCAACTTGAAGTTGTGGGCCGAGGCGATAGGTGCACGTCGTCGTTCTCAGGACGGAAGAACGCTCGCCATCGATTCACGGAATGCAGTAGCGGCAGTCGGAGTAGCTCTGGCCATGGGGCAAGAAGGGGCACCTGCAGTCGAGCATTATTGAGCCGAGCATGAAGAACACATCCACCCACACAACCGAGGTCGATCGCACACCTCCTGGGCAGCATGGCACTGATCGCGTCCAAGTAGATCGACGACGACCTCGACCAACTGCTACGCCAGGTCGTCCACGCCGGTGCCTCGAGCGACTCCTGACGACATCTCTATTGTAGATGGCCGAGGACACGTCAAGGATGAACGACTTTATTGGCTTCATGCTGACAGAGGTGCGTGCGCGACACGAGTGCTTCATGTCATTTCAATACAGAACCAAACACCCGAGCTGCGCCCCATCAACCTCGTGCCCTCGACAGTGACGCTACAAGCCAAAGCATCCCTCACCACCGAGAAGGGACCACCTCGCGTCTCGAGACGCCGAGCCATCAAGCCACCTCGGTCGGCCACGGCGACAAGTGATCGAGAGCCCTCCAACGTAGACTGTGGACCGCTCCAATACATCGCATTTCATTTCATTGAGATGTCCACCGTAGTCTGACGTAACCCGGCATACTTTGATCTACGACGCGTCCTTTACTAGGCCGATCGTGCATCTCTCATCTGACATATATTCCAGTCGGTAGCAACGCGTCCTCCAAGAGACTGTAGCGCACTGGTCCCGCCTGCAGCATGGCGAGCTTTGGAGCAAACGCCTCTCGTTCAATCCAAAATCCATTCAACTACACTTTTCTACTAACCACTTGTCCATTCTTCGGCGACCAGACTCAGTCTCCAGTCAAGACCCATCGTCGGTCCCATGGACCTACTGAAAGGTCGCGTCGCACACGCGCTTGATAAGGTCGTCGTCGGCGGCCTGGGGCATCGTGACGGTGAGGAGCGGGTCGACCTCCATCTCGCGTGCGATCGCAAAGCACGCGTTGTCATTGCGGCCCCACGCGCGGCGCGAGACGCCGTTGTTGACGTCCCAGCGCAGCATGCTCGCGGCCTTGCGCTCCGCGGCCTGCGACCCATCGAGCACGTGGCCGAACCCGCCGTTCATGACCTGGCCCCAGCCGCAGCCGCCGCCGTTGTGGATCGAGACCCACGTCGCGCCGCGCGCCGCGTCGCCAATCACGTTGTGGATCGCCATGTCGGCGCAGAACATCGAGCCGTCCGTGACATTGGACGTCTCGCGGAACGGCGAGTCGGTACCCGAGACGTCGTGGTGGTCGCGCGAGAGCACGACGGGCGCCGAGAGCTCCCCGGACGCGATCGCTTGGTTGAGCGCGATCGCAATGCTGGCGCGCGCGTGGCGGTCAGCGTACAGAATGCGGGCTTGCGTGCCGACGACCATCTTGTTTTCGTCCGCGGCCTCGATCCAGCGAATGTTGTCGCGGAGCTGCGCGGCCACAAGCGGCGGCGCGGTCGCGAGGTACTCCTTGAGGATGCGACCGGCGATCGCGTCCGTCTTGAGCAAGTCGGCCTCCAAGCCCGACGTGCACACCCAGCGGAACGGACCAAAGCCGAGCGAGAAGATGTCGCCCATAATGTCCTGCACGTACGACGGGTACTTGAAGCCGTCTTCCAAGTCGTCCGACTTGTAAATGTCGGCGCCGGCGCGGCTCGCCTCGAGCAAGAACGAGTTGCCATAGTCCCAAAAGTACATGCCTTTGGCCGTGAGTCGGTTGATCGCGCCCACGTGGCGAAGCAGCGACGACTGCACGAGCTCCTTGAAATGCGCCGGGTCCGACGCCATCATCTTGAGCGCGTCGTCGAACGAGAGCTGGACGGGTAGTACCCGCCGTTGTACGGGTTGTGCAACGACGTCTGGTCCGAGCCGAGGTCCACGAGGTGCTCGCCCGCGTCCGCCGCGTCCGCGAGCGCCTCCCAGAGGTCCACGACGTTGCCGTGGTACGCGATCGAGACGACGCGCTGGTCCTTGCGCGCGGACCGGATCATGTCGAGGCACTGCGGCAAGGTCGTCGCGATCTCGTTGACCCAGCCCTGCGCGTGGCGCTTCTCGATGGCCGCATAGTCGACCTCGGCCGTGACCGAGATCATGCCGGCAATGACACCGGCCTTGGGCTGCGCGCCCGACATGCCGCCGAGACCCGACGAGACGTACACGACGCCCTTCATGCTCTCCTTCCCGAGGTACTTGCGCGCCGCGTTCATGACCGTGATGGTCGTGCCATGCACAATGCCCTGCGGGCCAATGTAGCAGTAGCTGCCGGCCGTCATCTGGCCATACTGCGTGTTGCCCATCGCGTAGAGCTTGTCGTACATCTCGCGCGTGCTGTAGTTGGGGATCATCATGCCGTTGGTCACAATCATGCGCGGCGCGTCCGGCGACGACGGGAAGAGACCCGCGGGGTGGCCCGAGTAGAGCACGAGCGTCTGGTCCTCCGTCATCTCCGAGAGGTACTTCATGACGAGGAGGTACTGCGCCCAGTTGGAGAAGACGCTGCCGTTGCCGCCGTACGTGATGAGGTGCGCGGGGAACTGCGCGATCGCCTTGTCCAAGTTGTTCATGATCATCATCATGATGGCCTTGGCGGATGTCGTCTTGGCCGGGTACCAATCGACCGGGTACCCCTTCATCTCGTACTCGGTGGGCCGGAAGCGGTACATGTAGATGTGGCCCTCGTCCTTGAGCTCCTGCGCAAACTCGGGCGCGAGCGTCGCGTGCCACGACGACGGAAAGTACCGCAGCGCGTTCTTGATGGCGAGGCGCGTCTCGCGCTCCGTGAGGTTGGGCGTGCGCACGGGCGCCTGCGGCACGGTCATGTCCTTGCCCGGGTGCGCCGGCAGCGTCTGCCCGAGGCCGCGCGTGAGCACCTGGAGGACGGTCGGGTTGGTCATGCTGCTCTGGTCGAGGCAAATTCGAAAATGATCTTGATGGCCAACGCCATGTCCCCAAAATAGCACCGGGCATACAAACACCAAGCTTATTGGGCGCCACCTGCGCTGGAGAGTGGGATCGCCATCATCCACTTCAACGTGGCAATTTAAAACGACGCGCGACTTGTTTTTATACAGCACGGTTGTATTTAAATATGCAAAGGTGGCATACATGCAGTGTCTCTTGACACGCTTTTTTATTCTCAAGAAGCACGAAAAACACCATTGTATTATGCGCTGGAGCCCGCAATGAATTCCAATTTAGATCACGACGATGCGACCGTCGGCCGATGGCGAATATGGCGCCAGCGCCAATAATACGAACGCCCTTTCTACGATACAAGAATCGACTCCACGAGCGTCCAAGCAGCAGCCGACGCACTCGCTCACGCACGTCGCTAATACGATGCCGGCGCTCATATAGGCAGAGAGAGACCGAGAGCGCGAGGTCGGCCGACGCCAAAACACCTGGCGTGACGTGTGGACCTCCGGCGCTGTTTCGGAACCGGATCTATGATGCGAATATCGACAACATGCGTTTCCGTCCTGGCTTCTTGATGCGAATACAGACGCACTCGGGTTGGCAGAGAGCGCCATCACCGCACAGACATAATATACGCAGAAGGTGTACAGCACATGGCTGGAGAAAGATCCATCGTCGACACGGTGGCGTAGGGTCGCCACGGTCGACCGACTCGGAAGAAGGAGTGTTGTGGCTTTGTCTGCTACGTCAAAGCGGCCATTGCAGCGGCGACACAGGCGAAGACAACCGTGCGCACCGCCCATCCAGCACCAATCGTTGCAGGAGACCAAGGGTCTAGAGTAACAACAAAAATCATTGTTTTGCAAGCAACGCATGGTGCCAGTCATCCGCATTGAATCCATCGTGTCAACGTGATGTCCAGTGTTGATGCAGCGTACTAGGCCATGTAGTATGGGCTAGAAGCGCAGGGCTTGACCACTGCAGGCGCTGAAGGCCTCTGCGGTATGTTGGGCACTTGCAGGCGGCCCGGTGGCGCCAGCGGTGGCAGCTACGTGGCGCAGCGCTCGTAGCGTGCGACGTTGGCGATATAAATCGGACTAGAAAAGCCAAAGACGGCTTTGCTGCTGATCGTCCCTGATAGTCTAGGCGGTTAGGATGCAGCGGCTTTGCTGCCGACAATGAAACGTGATGGCGGCGCTGCTGCAAAGTGTGTTGTGTGCTCATACAGGTAGCCCTTGAATGCAACGCAGAGCTCATATCGATATGACAATACTGGCGACACGGCAGTCATGAAGGGCGGGAGATGCGCTGCTTGCCTTCACCTGGATCACTCTACACCTAGTCACAAACGATAAGATGGCACCTCGGGCCGAGGCGAGCAGCCGAATCGGCCGCAGTAACCTCACGGCATCTCCCTGCGACCTGGTCCAAGGACGGCCACGACAATTGTCCTTGGACTCGGACTACGGCGCTCGACCCGAGAATTTCGTAAATGAGCAACGCGTTGACATGGTTTTACATGGGAAAGGATGTGGAAATGGTAAAAGCATTGTTGATGTTTCTCCATCGCACTGGCTCGGATGCCTCTCCCTAGATTGCCGTTTGTCGGTATGTAGCACAACCAGAGGTATCGATGCAGCTTCTTGACAAAGCCGAGCGGCGCGAGAACGGTACGACTGCGCACGTCATGCGCCACCGGGCCACATACTGCTCCTGCCTACAAGTGCCCAACATACCGCAGAGGCTGGCAATAAGCCTTCGGCGCCTGCAGTGGTCAAGCTCTGCGCTTCTAGCCCATACTACATGGCCTATTAGTACGCTGCATGAATACCACTGGACACCACGTTGACACGATGGATTCGATGCAGACGTCTGGCATCATGCGTTGCTTGCAAAACATTGCTTTTTGTTGTTACTCTAGACCCATGGTCTTCTGCAACGATTGGTGCTGGATGGTCGGTGCGCACGGTTGTCTTTGCCTGTGTCGCCGCTGCAATGGCCGCTTTGACGTAGCAGACAAAGCCACAACACTCCTTCTTCCGAGTCGGTCGACCGTGGCGACCCTACGCCACCGTGTCGACGATGGATCTTTCCCCAGCCATGTGCTGTACACCTTCTGCGTATATTCTGTCTGTGCGGTGATGGCGCTCTCTGCCAACCCGAGTGCGTCTGTATTCGCATCAAGAAGCCAGGACGGAAACGCATGTTGTCTATATTCGCATCATAGATCCGGTTCCGAAACAGCGCAGGAGGTCCACACGTCACGCCAGGTGTTTTGGCGTCGGCCGACCTCGCGCTCTCGGTCTCTCTCTGCCTATATGAGCGCCGGCATCGTATTAGCGACGTGCGTGAGCGAGTGCGTCGGCTGCTGCTTGGACGCTCCGTGGAGTCGATTCTTGTATCGTAGAAAGGCAGCGTTCGTATTCTTGGTGCTGGCGCCATATTCGCCATCGGCCGACGGTCGCATCGTCGTGATCTAAATTGGAATTCATTGCGGGCTCCAGCGCATAATACAATGGTGTTTTTCGTGCGTCTTGAGAATAAAAAAGCGTGTCGAAGAGACACTGTATGTATGCCATCTTGACATATTTAAATACAACCGTGCTGTATAAAAACACGTCGCGCGTCGTTTTAAATTGCCACGTTGAAGTGGATGATGGCGATCCCACTCTCCAGCGCAGGTGGCGCCCAATAAGCTTGGTGTTTGTATG